GCTAATGAAAGAGATAAGATTCATTCAAGATAGGTTTGTGAATTCTAAAAGGTCCAAATCGTTTGAAGACATCTCAAGAACGTTTGCAAAGTTAGTCTTTCAAGGGAAAGTCACGGCAGCGATCAAATTGCTGAAGAAAGAGGGCTCGTCGGGATTGTTGAATCTATCAGACGAACGGCATTAGCTCAATTGAAAGAGAAACACGCTCTTCCCGCTGAAATCAAAGAGGAGTGTCTCCTACATGGTCCTGTAGACCTCGTTCAACCCGGCACATTTGATCTAATCGGTGAGCAGTGGATCTTTGACTCCGGCCTGAAAACTAAAGGTTCTGCTGGCCCTTCCGGAATGGATGCCGAACCAATTCTCTGCTCAAAGAACTTTGCGGCGGAGGGGAAAAGACTAAGAGAAGAGATCGCTACTCTGACGAGAAACCTCCTAAAGTTCAATTACCACCCCTCCCTACTTGAAGGCTACACTGCTTATAGACTGATACCGCTTGACAAAAACCCAGGAGTTAGACCAATTGGAGCGGGAGAGGTCTTGCGCCGCATAATCGGCAAAACCACCTCTGCAATGTTTAAGGAGATAAAAGAGGCAGCTGGCCCACTGCAAGTTTGTGCAGGTCATAGCGCTGAATCAGAACCAGCCATACACGCAATGAAGCAGGTTTTTAATGAGGAAGGGACGGACAGAGTTCTATTAATTGATGCGACTAACGCATTCAATCAGAGGAACAGGGCGGTGGCCATGCATAACATTAGGATCACATGTAAAGAAATCGCCATATATATCAATAACACGTATTGGAGCTCCTCCAGGCTGTTCATCAATGGCGGAGGCGAGATCCTTTCCCAAGAGGGTACTACCCAAGGTGACCCGCTAGCAATGCCTTGGTATGCAATTAACACTGTTCACATGATCACTAGTCTCATGGCATCAGTTGCCTAAGTCAAGCAAGTCTGGCTGGCGGATGACTCCGCGGGTGGGAGTATAGAATCACTCTATCAATGGTACAAGAGTTTATGTGAGGAAGGGAGAAAATTTGGTTATATCATTAATGATGTTAAAAGCTGGTTAATTGTTAAGACCAGTGATCTGGCAGAGAATGCAAAGGTGTTTGGCAATAAAGTGAACATAACGCTCGAGGGACGACGTCATCTCGGTGCGGTCACCGGATCAAGAGTTTAAGGAGCAACGTTGTCAAGAGAAAGTTAATAGGTGAATCAGAGAAATGGAGTCCCTCACAGAGATCAGCAAGAGTCAGCCCCACGCTGACTATGTCGGTTTCACTAAAGGATTTAAATCGAGATTAGCTTATTACTTGCGCGCCATAGAATCGTTTGAAGAGTATGTGGACCCCATCGAAAAAGTGATTCACCCTTCCTTTCTTCCTTCTTTATTCGGGAGAGCAGAGCCTCTTCCTTGAGATAAGAAGGTAAGGAACTTGTCAATCTATCACCTCCGCAGGGCGGGATAAGGATTCCTGATCTTAACCGTGAAAGTCCGAAGCAGTTCAAAGCCTCGTGTGATATAACAGCTCCACACGTCAATTCAATTGTTACTCAAAGCTCCACCATTCCAGCACGAGAGTTGATGGAGAAAAGGAAGCGTGAAATCAACGCTCGAAGGAGAGCCGCTGTAAAGTCCCGGATTGACAGGGTTGACAAGTCGTTATCTCCTGATCTACTCTAATCGGTGCTGCAGACAAGGGACAAGGGAGCTAGCTCTTGGCTACACGCCATTCCAATCGAACATGGACTGGCTTTAAACAAGCAGGAGTTTAAGGACTCCGCTACAACCTCCCTCTGCCTAATCTCCCTAGTTACTGTCCTTGTGGAGAAATCTTTACTGTCAACCATCCTTTGTCGTGTAAGAAGGGATGTTTTGTTGCCCAGAGACACGATACAATCCAAGATCTACTGACACTACACATCAGTAAAGTGTGCAGAAATGTGAAGACAGAGCCACTCCTTCAATGTTAGGCGTTTATGACTGGTAGGGTTTCAGCGGAGGTTCAGGAATGGGATTAGGTGTAGGGAGCTAGGTGATATTTTTGCATTTTTTATGATATATTTAACTTGGGCATATATTTATATACACATCTTTATTTTAATTTTCGAGCGTTTTTAACATGAGCGTTTTTAACATGAGCGTTTTTAACAGGTTTTTTTCAGGCTTGGTGGATTGGGTAACCACCCCCTAAGTTACCGACGTGAAATAAATTATTGTTGTTGCAACCACTCGACAATGAAGTCCTTAACCTTCAGTCAACTGTCATGTGGCTAGAAGCGAGGCTGTACATGAAGGCAGGAGGCTTTTGGACACCAGGAGTAACAGCATTAGTCGACGTACGTGTAACGCATGTTAACTCCAGGTCCAACCAGGGTAAGTCTAGAGCAACGATCTTCAAAGAGCAAGAAAACGAGAAGAAGAGGAAATACAACCAGAGAGTGATGGATGTGGAAATGGGAACTTTTACACCGTTGTTGTTTGGTACAAACGGAGGCATGGGACTTGACTGTCAGAACTTTTTAAGAACTGTCGCAAATAAGCTTATGAACCAGAATAATGAGCCCTACGCCAGCGTCATTTCCTGACTACGAATAGAACTTTAATTTGCTATATTAAGAACTGTACACATATGCGTAAGAGGTTCTAGAGTTCCGTTTAAATCACGCGTGGTAACTTCACCCTCGCTGTAGCTGGTCTACATCTGCACTCATAATTTTAGGTCTTTATATTTTGATAGTTTTTTCTATTTAGTAATGCTAAATTTTTTCTTTTCCCTTTGAAACTGTAAATAATTGCTTTATTTCATTAAGATTTTGAAAATTGTCTTTGATTATTATTATTATTATTATCATCATCATTATTTTAAAGATTCTCTATTTTATTTAGCAATAATTTCCATAAAATCCTCTACAATACAAAATATTAACAGCGTAAAAAACGATCCAAAATAACTCGCTTTCGGCTCACATCTACTCCTTTTTTTTTGAATGTCAAAGCGTCTGGAAAACTATATATTACGTTTGTCATTAGAGTAGAACCCCACTAATTAGAATCAGTGGGGTTCTATTCTATCATTAAAAATGACTGCTGGTCAACAAGTTTGTTAAAAGTTTCATTTCCGCGTATAGCTTTGGAAGCGTTTCTGGTTGAAATGGCCTTTCCGCCTAAACATTGAAAAGTTCCCTTCAAGTAGAAGATACAAAGTTGAATTCACCGGGTGTTTTAGTTGGAAAGGTTAGAGTAGGCACATGCAGAAAAAAACAGCAACTCCCTTTTGGGTAACAAGAGCTAAACCCACTGTGGAGAAAACTTATCCACTTTTCCCCTTCCATTCAAACAATAAAAAGCTACGTTACCGAAACACTAGAAGGTGGATAGCTTTATAATGTAATTTACAGATCATGTCTGACTCACTGTTGCAACGCATTGAAAAAGCACTAAACAATTCTTTTTAGCAACTATTTCAAACGGAATTATTTTCTTCAAGAACCTTTATTTTGTAGAGCAAGTATGATCCTCTGGTTGACCTCAGTGAAAATTAGGTACAGGATATTTGTGTAACTACTTTGAATTATCCTCAACGCCTTCTAGTTGGAATCTTTTCTATAACTATGTTTATTAAAAACACCAACTGGCGTCAAAAGCTGTAAGTAGGATTGAGAGGCTACTCAGCGGCTGCTACTTTGCAAAATATGAATCATAACGTTAGTTCTGCGCGCAGAAATGAGAAATTTCATTTTGAAATTAATATACGTCATTCTTATTTTAAGCAACCTGGTAAAATATTTTGCGGACGGACCTCATAATCGAATTTCGCATGATAGCGCTGCGTGACACAATATTCACGAGGGTTTTGAGCGGCTCCTTTCAGTTCTTCAAGTCTTTAAAAGGCGATGGAAAAAATAATCCACCTGACTTAGGGTATTTTCGCGAATATATTATTTTCTGGCGATTTCATGGGAATTTATAATGAGTTCAAGTCGCACACTCATAAAATAACAGTTTGCATTTTTTCAATTTAAAATAGCTGCTCTTTAAGTAATTATATAAGCACACTTTCTTAATGGTTAATGAGAAAAAAAATTTGGATTAAAATAATTCTTTTCATATCTAACCTAAATTTTAGTGATTTTGCGCTGATCCGAAATTAAAAGTTGCATATTTACGGTCATGGCGCTAAAGGCAAAGTTGGTGTCATACTGAAAAATAATTTTCAGTGTAAGAAACCGTTAAAAAAAGAAAAACTTGTGTGATTTGTTTTTACAAAGGATCCATTTAAATATGCGAATCAAAACACAATTATTCAAACAATAGTTGTGTGAAAAGACTTAGAATTCAATTTGTGTCATTTTTGATGGTAGGCACTGTTAAAAAACGCGCCTTTGAGCACTAAAGCGATTTTCGCTCTAAAATAAAAGTTATATTACATTAATTTAAAAAAAAAAAACAGGTGGTTAGGATTGCTACTAGACTAAGATTGATTCACAGGCAAAGTTTGAAAGACATTTTTTTTTTTTCCAACCGATATGCCTCGGACCGTTTCAAGAGAGCCTGCCTCTTATATGCCTCTTACAGGGCGCTACTTCCATTAAAGAAAATTGACATGGTTTAACAGTGAGAAGCTAAAAATTATACGCTTTCGATCGTGTAGAAAAATCCACGATTATGAAACATTGCCTCTGAAATAAATCATTTCGTGGATAAACCTTAATGACTTCGAATTATATACTGGTCGGTAGATTCAGAAAAAGTTAACAGTAATCGAACGATGGATGGAAGGAAGGAAGGAGTAAATGTTTCACCCATACCTAAATCTCGGATTAATGACAACAATTTTTTAGCTTAAAAGGGAAAGTTGTTAAATATCCCAAACATGATTCAGTGATACTGACTGCTGATACTTATGCCAAATGTGGGAAAACTCAACCAGCGGTAGGAGAAAAGAGGTAATTTTTCTTTAGCCATTATTCATTTTATAGTCATCTTACTTTGAATTGGTGTCGTGCTCCTAGAATTCCCTGAGGAGGAAACTTCCCTTGGTATTTCTTCTGGTCTGCCATCCTCAATGCCTGGAAACAATCAGAAACAAAATTAGTATCTTTCCCAGACAGTTTGTTCCTTAGTTGTTTTTTTCTATTTCAATAAGTTAATTTTTAAACTGATTAATTTAGTTTGCTGCCATACTAAAGACTATGCAGCAGCATGTCATGATCAGCCGGCTAAATTCCCGAGTCCTTGAATTTCACTGGTTCATATTGGCTCACTCAACACTAGTCCAGCTCTATACAATACAGACTTTGGTTCAAATCTTATTTGTGTTCTTCCATCAATGATGGCCCTCTGGGAGGGCCTGATGTCAAAGTAGCTCTCCCAATCATTCAATAAGTACATAATATTGGTTGGAAACTATTTTAGTGTTCAACTGTCAACTTACTTTCAGTTTTAGCTTCATGTATGAGCTCATCACCCCTTGTGTCTTCTGTTCCAGACTCTTTGATTACAGACTCTCTTGTCCTCATTTCTTTTGTGCTTTCACCTCCTGCTGATTCCTCAGTGGACTGTACAACTGAGTCTGATTTTTCTGGAGAGTTGCTTAGTAACTCCTTTGTGACCACTTCAGCACACTTGTGATCAAATGCACTTGTAAAGTCAAGAGAGGCTGGATTTTTCCATGCTTGCAAACTTGCATTCTTGATAGCTGGCGTCATTTCCACTCCATCAGTACTAGGTTCGTCTTCTTTGAATTTTTCACCTCTGAGATGTTTTCCAAGACTTGTTTTACCAACACGGTCCTGACCAATCAATAATATCTTTGTTCGTTTGTCAAAGGCCTTCCCACTTTGTAATGCTCTTTGGAATACTTCAAATGCGAAAGGTCCTCTAGCTAGTACATAGGGGGGGGTCACATCTGTAAATAAAGTTTGTGTGTGTGTGTGTGTGTGTGTGTGTGTGTGTGTGTGTGTGTGTGTGTGTGAGAGAGATAAATAAACAGCAGCTAGGTTTGCAAACAGAGGCAGTTGATAATCACTAAATCCAACATGCCATTTTAAGAAGAACTTTCTTCATGTTAAAGATTTACAGCAGTCAATTGACAAGCCTCTCGATAAACATGAGCTCAACATGATATGCGAAATGGCCAAAAAGGACTGTGGCTAAGGGTTAATTTTGATAATGTGTACACAAAACACAAAGTATCTAACTTGAGTAAGTCGTGTGCATGCATAAGCTTTATCATATAATATTCCCAAAGTTTGAATTTGCAGGCAACATTTACTGATCACAAATGTTTTACTGTCAAAACTCCACCCACATAGCATTGAAATCCTGGTGCTAAACCCAAGTTTTGTGTATATGAAAGTTTCAGGTACAAAATGCTTCTCAACAAAACGTTAGCTGCATGTGTACCTAGGTACCACTGAGCGCAACATTTGAAGATTTACACAACTATTAACCTTCATGATGCACTTGGAATGCACAAAATGAATAACCAGGGCCTTCAGTTGCTGACATTTTGTCAATAAGTTTTTTAGTATTTGAAATTTGTTTCTAATAATATTCTTGAAAGCACTTTCCGCATAAGGAGCCAATCATTTTTGTGCACTTTTTGGGTCTTTTAATAATCAAATAAATGTATTAAAATTGCGCACAACGAATATTTTGTGTAGAATGTTGACTTTTCAGTGTTTCTTGTCCATGCCTGATTTACCTTCTTCTACGTCAAAAAAAAGACACGCTCTGTGACCTTAAAATAACTTTCAATTGCTAGTTCTCGTTTCTACGCACACCTTACATGCATTCAGTGTTCCGTCACGTGGGTCGATTTTTGCATTCGATTTAAGAGCTCACGTTACTTTCGGTTGTTATTTGATAAAAATAAAATTTTTGTCCTTTTCCCTGTACAAAGTTGCGTTTTCAATGGATATCCCATTCAATCTTTTTCACCTACACAAAAGATAGTCAGACGCGTAAGCAAACGCTGAAGGAGTGTCTTCGAAATTGGCCCAAATCTCAATAAGACATTCTTGAAAAAAAATTATTACACTCCTTTTTTTCTTCCCTTATCATCGTTTCTACGGTCACGTTGCCTGTTTTCGGTATTCAGAAAGGTGCGTCGATTTTGTTCGCCCTTTAATCTTGCATTCAATTGAAACAGAGTTCACAATACTTTTGGTTGCTATTGATAACAATAAACCCGACGATTAGTGCGGATCGTACGACCCTCGAATACATTAGGCGATTCGTACGGATCGTACGACTCGTGAGTTCATGAGATGATCCCTTCGATCTGTACGAATCGTACGAATCGACAAAATCTACAATGGCCTTAAAATACTCGACGTCACAAAAAATCTCTAAGTCTCCCTAATCACGAACAAACAGTACAGCCTTACGACTTGTGCGTACATTGGACGATCCGTACGGATCGTATGACTCGTGAATAGGGACCTTAAGCAAACCACGACGGCGACGGCAACGAGAACGTGGAAAAACAAAAAATGTAATTAGCAGAACAATAGCTCCGAACGTGCATTTTAAAACTTAGTACATTTCTCAGCCGTCCTTTGCAAAACGATAACGTGAAATCAGCAAAATTTGCGTCGTCTGCGAACCGAAACCGCAACGGCAAATTATTTCAATTTCCATATGTAACTCAACGCCACTTTTAGACGTTATGTTGAGGTTGAGTTGTGGCGCCGTAAGAAATGGTAAAAACATGCAGCCATTTTCGAAATTCTAATTAAAAGTAGAAATTCATTTCTTAATCGATGTATTCCATGGCGTTGCCGTCCTGACTGCTTAAGAGGCTGTCCACCTAAGAACGGATAAGGCAAATTTCGGACCTTCACCGATTTCCCTGATTTTTACTGTGAAAGTCGATACTTTTATCCCATGAACAAATATTGCGTTTATTTTGAATCAGTCCGGTTTTTTCATTTTTACGAGATATTTTTCAAGGTGACCTCAAAGGCACCCAGTTTCCCCCCCCGACC